ATCTTGACAAATAAGTCCACCTAGCTACCCTCTTTCCCACTCCCACATTAGTCAAAGACTTTTTCAAACTAATTTGGGTCGGCTACATAAATCAGAGTCCTCCATTCTGCTCTATTAAGGGTTATACCCTAAATAAGGTCATAGGTCCCCATATCTCTTTTCACTATTTGAAACCATATCCTTTTGGGCCTACCTCTTATCCTTTTTCAGCCTTTCACTTAAACTAACTCGTACTTTCTAACAAATCGTATTATATCCACCTATACATGGCCAGCCCACCTAAGTCTAGGAAAGGAGCTGAGCTTAACACCTAGTTACCACATCGTGGTTTCCATTCTTATTCCTAACACCCTCAATTAACACCATCAAAATGTAACTCCCTACTCTATTAAAAAATAATAATAATAAACGGGTAGGGGTCAGTCTTCCCTACTAAATTACCAAAAAAAAAAAAAAAACCAACCTAAGCCTACTTCTTCTCATCTTATCACCTAAGCCTACTTTCTTTAAATCGTTTTGTACTCTCTATCCTAATTATAATGGTTTCCCCTACTTTCATAGATCTATTTGTATTAAGTGGAGCCTCATTGTCCACGTGCGCCATATATGACCTTATGCTCTTAGCAATATTGAACCATTGCATGCTTCCATATAAGGAAAATTGTTTCATGCAGGTTAGACTGTACTTCTGCATATGCGGTCCAGAAAGTGCACGGCATCCATCTTAAAGATCGATACCAGTAGGTGTTCTATCTAAAAACAATGAAAACTAACAGTTCAAATGTTTTTTTACTAGAATTATTATTTCTAGTCTTTAAAATTTATTTATTTATTCATATTCATGATCTCCATGTTAGAGGTTACATGTCCTTAAAAATTAAGTCTTAAAATACATCTCAAAAATAAATTTATTGAGAGGCCCGCATTTCTACATGTGCGAGCTTCGCCGCATAGAAACCGGGTCCTTCACATAAAACACCTTTCATTTTAAAAGAACAAAAAAAAAAGTTATTGAAGGGGTGATGAGAAATAAAAGAAGTAAACGAGACAACAAAAATCTGAAAAGACAAAATTGCATACAAGAAAGTTCACGGGAAAATTTATCGATATGCACATAAGTGATGAACTATATAATATTTTACTCATAAATTTTGATTTAATTTCAAAATTTCCATCAAAATTCTCATAATCGAGGAGTTGGAGTAGTTGAAAAGGGTAAAATGTTAAATGGTTGATAAGCTAGGTGTATTTTGATAAATTTCTTTATACATAAATAACAAGAGATCAATGTATTTAGCCTTTCACTCATATTGATTTATTTAGTTTCGAAACACCCTTCAAAATATACATGACCATGAATTGGAATCGTAGAAAAAGGTTAAATTGTTAGAAAGTTAGATGTATTTTGGTAAATTGTCCAAAATAATATTGTATTATGGTATTGAAATAGAAGAATACCATAAATCATAAAAAGGGATAGTACACGTAGAAATCATATATCATGTGCACGATGTACAAATGCTACACTTTAATATTGTATTTTAATTTTTATTTTTTCTATTAATTTGACTGAAATAAAAAATTGAAGGTATACCTAAAAAAGTATCAAAAATATTTTAAAAAAATAAATTGATCTAAATGCCATAAATCATTGAGGGGAATACAAGGTGAATTTTATCAGTTTTAAAAATTATTATTTTTTAGGTGCGCCTTATTGAGATCGTGAGAGCCCGCGCTTAAAATTAAAATATTAAAAAACACTCATGGTCGTTTTTTGTTTTTTGTTCTGTTTGAACGGTAATAACACTCATGGTTGTTCATTGTAGCATGAAATATTGATAGTGGTTGTGGTGTCCACGTCATTTAGACGAAACACATTCCATCAAGAGGTGACCATTAGATATAACATGAGAAAGTATTCATATAAAATAATTTAGAAAAGTATAAAGTGATGGAGAAGTAAGGTAAACATCAAAAATCCACCCAAATAGGTTGTTTCGATGCGGACATATAAAGCAAAAAAGAATAAAATATAAAATAAAATATAAAATCGTAAAAGAACATGTATTGTAACACATTATCTTGACCATTGAGTTGGTAATCGAAAATCACCTCACAATAGGTTTTCTCATTATTCAAAAATAGTTTTGGTTATTGTGAAAACCATTTTATATAGGAGCTTTATAAGCCATTTTGTAGAGAGGAGATTTGGAGCGGAATAATTCTTGTAAAGATTGAGATTGGGGTTTTGGGTAAAACCTTAGCTATCATTGTGTCCTATTTGGAGTGGTTTCATAAGTGGAAGAAGCATATTCGTATGATGGAATCGACAATGGATGTTGGTTTGAAAAAGAAAAATATTTTGAGTTCCAAAAATAGTGCATCTTGCAATAAATTATGTAGATCGTCTATTTTTAAGATTTTCATATGTTTATATATGTACTTGATTTTAACTATTTTTAGAATTCAAAATTTTATAATTTGATATGAAAATAGATTTTCAGATAATCTTAATAAATTTTTACACCAATACTAGAAATATGGTTTCAATACTAGAAATCTTTGTAATAGTCTTAAAATATATTTTTATCTCTAATTATAATATTTAATGCTTCAAAAATAGTGTAGATCGAGCAAATCTATGAAAAATTGAAAATCTTAAAAATTAAAGATTCAAAAATACATTAAAAGATGTACTATTTCCAAAACTTGAAATCCATTTTTTTTCTCATGTCTATGCATCTTGAGGTCGAGATGATCAATTTGAGGATCTTTGGAGATCAAAACAATCTCTTCCAGTAAAATTTGTTAGATACGCCCTAATTTGATTGTTTAAAACCTTGCACTTATATAAACTTTATATATATAGAGAGAGGAGCATGTTATCAGGAGCAAAAAGTTCATGTGTATTTTCTGTCAGCATACACTAAAATTTAACAAAAAAAAAAAGGTCAAAAACTAGAATTGCCATTTTGTGATTGAAGAAGCAAGGATATTAATGATATTACTGGTATGCGGTCTGGGCTTTTTTATGACTCCTAACAAGCGATCGTATAGGCATTAACTGAAGCCACCGTCCACGCGCTTTACGTACTCATCCTCACTTTACACTATATGCATTGGGGCCGTACTCGTAGAGGCCGCATTCGTATATTTGCATCCCCCGGGCTATTCTAAAGATAGAAATAAATGGTTTCTCGAAAAAATAAAAACTAATAATATAAATATTTTTTTAAAAGAAATATTTAGTTTCTAACTCATTATTTCTTTAGTATTAATAACGTTTATATTAGATATCATATATTCTTTAAAAATTGGGACCAACGCCCATTTTGAGAATGGATTATTAAGGGGGGGCCATATGTTTAAATACGAGTACGGGGACCCATAAAAAACAACGGCAATGCCCTCAGTTGTTTTATAACTTTTTTTTTGTTTACAATGTTTAGTGAGTCCACCCACTTATCTATTTTATAAGTCCTCTCTCCAAAAATCCTAGAGATAAATCTTGGATCTATGAATTGAGAATCTCAATATTGGTGAATATAAATATGAGTAACGACACTATGAGACTCCCCACATTCATGCGAGTAGGACCTCAAAATATCATTATTAAATTTTGACACAAATTTCTAAAAAAATTATCACCATACGTGTGAGACTTGGGTGAATGAGTTTATTGATAAATTTTTTAGAGGTCTATACTAAATTTAATGGCGATCTTTTGGGGTTCTACTTATATAGGCGTGGGAGGGTCTCAGAGTATCATTACTCTATAAATATACAAAAGGAAAAAAACTTAAAAATTAAAAATAAACTTTTACATTGTTAATACTTTTGTGTTTAGGTGGGCAAGCGAGCTAGCATATGAGACTCACAGTTTCCAAAATTTTAAATAAAAAAATCTTTCCAAGTAAATCTTCTGACCACCATTAAAAGACCGGATGACTCAAACTAAGCTTGCATAAACGAAAGGCAATTATTGTATGTTAGAAATATAATAAGTGGGAGTCAGATGAATATCAAATTTTTCATATATATATATATATATATATATATATATATATATATATATACTAACTAATAAGTAACTTATACTACTACTACTACTATACTAGTAGTCGTACTACTAAACTAAAAAGTAAAAAGTAAAAAAAGTAAATA